AAAAAGTGCGGTTGATTCTGCACAAAGCCTTCACCACTATAATCAAATCATATGTGCTGGCCTCTGGGTTGTCAGTTCCTAGACACGGTGGAGTAATGGATAGCGGCTTGGATTGAGGAATCAGAGAGCCGAGTTCGAATTCCACTTACGTGCTAATACCCTTGGGAAAGGTTTGAATCCTCTTCTCCCTACAGCTATGGTAAATAGCAGGACAGACTGGGTTCTATAGCTTTGGATGGCAACTGGTCTAGGAGAAGGAAAACTTTGAATTCAAAACCTGCGGAGGGTCGTTTGGGGACCTTGTGAGTCGAATATATGTTTAGTGTATAAGAACAGCAGATCATTTTTCAGACATGTATTGTTAAATATAACAGACAACGAATGTCTATTATGTTTTATCAGGAGCCGTTCCAAGCTTCGTATATTGACTTTAATTTCTGGAGAAAATTAAAGGCAAAATCTGTCCAACGTTTGGATGTTTCTTTATTGTGTCATATTGGCAGCATGATTTCATTGATACATGTTCATTGAATAATTTAGACAAGTTTTGTCTACTTATTTTCAATTGAATCCTTTCATATTCTCGAACAAGCTTCTTGGTATCGTTATTAAAGAGAGAAAATTACCGTGTTGATACATATTTCATTTATTCTGATTACTCTCGACTTTAACACAATGCTATCATCAGTATGTTGCTTTTTTCTAACACAAATATTATAGTGTTCATCATTTTTTAAAGATAAAATTGTTGTCTTCATCTAAAAGTGAAAATTGTTTTACAAGTGGAGTGAAAAACGCTGAGGTTATGTGCTATAAGATTTAGCTTGGTGCAAAGCGTAGGGGAGATAACTAAAAAATCGGGTGACACTTTTCGCCTTTGAGAACTTTATTGAACTAAAGTGATATTTATGTTGATGTAACTACACATGTGCATGGAGGAGAAGGGACGTTGAAATTTTTAACTTTTATTTTTTTAATTATATGTTTGGGTATATAATCTAGCCCAGGGTTTGGCAACCAAGGACACATCCCAAAAAACTGGGCAGAGTACTGTTAGACAGGAGGATATCTTTGGCAACAAAGAAAAGAATACTGAACGGTTACATGACATCTATCCTTCTTTACGGCAGCGAATGTTGGACGATTTCCTCAAAGACGAAGAAGAGACTCGAGGAGACAGAGATGTGGCTCTACAGAAGGATGCTGAGGATATCATACACCGAGCGTGTGAGCAATGATGAGATCTTAGAGAGGTTGCAAACAAGGAGGAGGCTTATACTAAACATCAGGAAGAAGCAGCTGAAGTTTCTGGGACAGATAATGAGGAAGGAGGGCCTGGAGAATCTGATACTCACGGGTCGAATAGAGGGAAAGAGAGACAAGGAAAAACAACACGTGACATACCTGGCAGTCTTAAGTAAGAGGATGACAGAACGTTGTCTGGGGGAGGAAGCAGAGGGAAGGAACTTGCTGAGAACTGTAAAGGATAGAGAGCCATGATCGCCTACATCCTGAAAGGACATGACACATAAAAAGGAAAGAAAACTGCTTTCTCCTTTAATAAATAAATTAACATCTTTTTTTTTTTAATTTATATTATAGTAAAACTCATGACGGTAAAAGAGTAAACATTGAATATGTTTTTTTGTAAAAAATGACTTTTGCGTTCATTTTATCTTTTATTTAAGTTTCTTGAGGTTTTGTCCGATGCATTTCTTGTGGGAATTATTGCAGCTGACAAAAGAAATTTCTCCTTCAGGTTTTTTGTTTAGTTTTGTATTAATTAAGTATTTTATTGTTTTTAGAAATGAATGAAGCCTGTAGGTTTTAGCGAACTTTTGGTCTTCTTCGAACCTCGGGGGCTGGAACTACAGAATCTCACCCAGAACATTCTAACAAATAAGAGAAAGCTCATCACTTCAAGACATTCCACTCCTTCAAGTTTTACCTTATTTTGTTTTGTATTAATTAAGTCTTTTATTGTTTTAGACGTAGCTCTGACACATTTTATTGTGAGTCTTTTTTTTTAAAGTAGTTGTAACCTTGTTCCAGCGTATAAAAATTGATTATATATATATATATATATATATATATATGTATACTAGCAGCATGGCCCGGCGTTGCCCGTGCTTGATTAAAAAATCGTACGACTCATACAGCAATCGCTATCACTTGACTTAAAACATTTGTGCCCTTCCTTGCCTTTAAACGAGTGCCCTTTGCCGTGCTGATCTTGCTACATGCCTCACGTCTTGCCTATCCCACACTGCGAATTTTTTCTAAGCTCTATAATAAACATTAAATCTGTTACGAAAAAAAAGAACTAAACAAAATGAACACAAAACGATCAGCTTTAAAAAAGGACTCGTAACTGGAAAAACCGATTGAAAAAAGAATGTTAACAACAAATACTTTTTCACACCCAACCCAGTTCTGCGTAATCAGAATCAACATTGAGTTTAAGCAAGCGAATGAGCCAATTGGAGTAAAGTGCCATGCAGATTTAAATTTTTCCCACTTGTGACGAATGCAGCTATCGATATTTTTTTGCATGCTAGTTACCATTCGTGTCAGTCAGCTGTTGGCTCTCACGCTGGTCAATAGAATCTTCCTGCCTATTCGTGGTCAGCCAGCTATTGGCTCTTACTCTGGCCAGTATAAAATGGCCGCAAACTACATGAAAACTGCCGTAGAAGCATGAAAAAATCGATTATTTCCACTATCGATGGGAATTGGGAAATGCAACGTCGGTCTTGGCCTTTCCGCTAACTTGGAGTATGTGCATGTAAATTTTGGTGCAAATCCGTCGAAAATTGCGGCCGTGCATTCGCTATGTACACACATACCAACACACACACACACACACACACACACACACACACATCCTGCCTTTTATAGATAGAGATATATAATAAGGTTAATGATTAGAGTTGAATTCGACCTGGGAAAGGTAGTATTAAAACATACTTAATACACGGATAAAAAAATAAAACATTAATATTTAGAGCTTTTAAGTATAAAAAAATAGGAGACCAGCCGATTCTGCTACATTGGTTTCAACTTTTCGTTATCTTCAGGCGATTTCGGTCAATTGATTTCCTAAAGCTTTCTTTTTTTTAAATTTATTAACCCTTTATTATTTAACAATAAATAAATAAACGGATATCTTGAAGTATGGTACAAGGGGAGGAGAAAAACACGGGCATTGGAAAGGCATCAGGGGGTGTAAATGAAATGTACAAACTTTTTCAGCCCGATTCATACAAACTCAGGAGTAAATTTTAGTGTGTATGTCATAATTTCCGATCTCTCAATCAAAAGTCTTTTTGGTCTGGAAATGCTAACTTTTCTTGTTGACAAAGGTTGCAGATATTACATTGTTGTAAGTTTTGGCTTTCTAAAAAAAAGATCCAGTTTACAATCTGATCTTTGTTATGTTTTTCTTTTATTTCCCATAGATGGTTGGCTAGTTTGGTAGAATTCTTAAGACTTTCTAGCTTGAATGATGATTTGTGATTACACCACCTCTTCTTGAAGCTACCTTCAGTACACCCTATGTATAATTTTTTCTGGTCATTTGTATCTATTATTTCTGATTTGTAAATAACTTCAGTTTTGCAAACTCCATCCAATGAACATCTACTTTTATTTCTGCAGTTGCATATATCACTGTTAACGATGTTTTTCTGCACGGTAGTTTTGAAATTTTTTGCGTTTTGTCTTTTTATTGCAGTTTCTAAATTACTAGTACAGCTGTAACTTAATTTAACTGTGTTTTTATTAAATATTTGATGTAATTCTGAATTTATGGGGAAGTGTTTAGTAAGTAATTTGAAAAGTATTTTCCCTATTTTACATTTGACCTCTACGTTAACGGGGGGGGGGGACCAAATATTTTTTTTTCTTTTCCTGGAATTGTTCTTCATTTGTTTTTTATTTGAGGTTTAAATTCCAGTTGTGATATTATATATGATCAGTCATCAAAAGTATTTTATATATGTTTTATATAGAGTGTTCTATATTTCTGAAAGGGCACTGAAAAGTTCTCAGTCCAACCAAATGTAATATTTTGTCGGATTTGGGGAAATGGTTCGAGATGAAAACTTTTTCTGCGCACCTTGCATCTATTAAAAGTGACAAAACTTATTTCACTCACTACCTGACAATAACTACAATATAGCTTATCAGAAGACAAAGTAGAGTTAGAAAAATTGTGTGGCGCCAATATGCTTATTGTGGAATGCCCATCATGAAAAAATATATATGTTATTCTCCGGGCGTGAAGACGACACAACACTGACTGGCGCGGAAAAATGGAATCGGTATGCAGAATTCAAATTCTGGCCAAGTCACTTGCTTTCACTTTCGTACTAATGCTCTCGGAAAAGGCATGACTCTGTCGAACAGCCAAGACTAAAATGAAGAGACGCCAACTGGAAGATCGTGCGGATCAGGTAACGAAGATTAAGAGCATGACTAACAGCAGAAGTGAAAAGAAATAAAGAAATAGTGAGAGTGGATTCTAACAAGAGATTTGAAAATGAGAAAGTTTTCCTCGAATAAGGTGAATCAAATCTTGACATTACTGTGATGGTCATATGGCAGCTATGTTAGCTTATCTGGCTCCTATTGTCTGCTGTCACATTCAAAGTACTCCCTTTTTGAAGCTAAAGATAATAAGGACCAAAAAAACAAAATTTGTTGTCACAGTGCCATTCCGGGAATTTACCCGAGGAGAGAAGAGAACTGTAAATACCTCAGTTTTGAAGAATTTCTGAGTATAGTACTGACTAACTGAGTACCTACTCGATGGTTATTAAACCATAACGTCTTACAGAGAACATGAAAATATACTTGGTAGAATGGTTAGATGGACGAATATGTCTTGTGAAACCAGAACAAAAGGGATGGCTAAAGAGAATAAGACAGAGCATTATGGACAAAGAGAACAGACTGAGATGGACAAAGGGAACAGGATAAATCAAAATGGACAAAGAGACCTAGTCAGATCGAGACGTCAAGGGAAATACGACAAACCGAGATGGACAAAGGGAAAAGAATAGATCAGGATGGACAAAGAGAAAAGGACAGACCATGTTAGAAAAAGAGATTGCGGCGGGCAAAGAGAAAAGGACAGACCATAAATGAACAAAGTGTACAGGACAGAGAGATGGACAAAGCGAATAGGGCGGAGCGTGATGGACAAAGAGACTAGGACAGATCGGGATGGACAAAGAGAAAAACACAGGCCTTGAAGGAAAAAGAGACTGAGCTGAGCAAAGAGAATAGGAAAGACAGAGATGGATACAGAGAACACCACAAACTGATATAGGCAAAGAGAATAGTTCAGATTGAAATGACTAAGACAGACCAAGATGGTCAAAGAATAGAGTAGACCGACAAATAGAAAATGACAGACTATGAAGGAATATAAGAATAGGACAGATCGAGATGGGCAGAGAGAATAGAACAAATCGAGATGACAACCCCCCCCAAAACAAAACAAAACAGAACAGATCGAGATGGACAAAGAGAATGCATAGCAAGAGGTTCAAAGAGAAAAGGTCATACCGAGACGGACAGAAAGATTGAGATGTACAAAGCGAATGGGGAAAATTGAGATGGCCAAAGAGACAGGAACAGACTGTAATAGACAAAGAGAATAGGACAGACTGAGATGGACAAAAGTCTGTGAAGGACAAAAGAACATGATGGACAAAGAGAATAGAACAGGCTGAGATGGACAAAAGAACATGATGGACGAAGAGAATAGGACAGACTGAGATGGACAAAAGACTGTGAAGGACAAAGAGAATAGGAGAGACTGAGATGGACAAGAGACTGTGATGGACAAAGAGAATAGGACAGACTGAGATGGACAAAAGACTGTAATGGACAAAGAGAATAGGACAGACTAAGATGGACAAAAGACTGTGATGGACAACGAGAATAGGACTGACTGAGATGGACAAAAGACTGTAATGGACAAAGAGAATAGGACAGACTGAGTTGGACAAGAGACTGTGATGGACAAAGAGAATAGGACAGACTGAGTTGGACAAGAGACTGTGATGGACAAAGAGAATAGGACAGACTGAAATGGACAAGAGACTGTAATGGACAAAGAGAATAGGACAGACTGAGATGGACAAAAGACTGTAAAGGACAAAGAGAATAGGACAGACTGAGATGGACAAAAGACTGTTATGGACAAAGAGAATAGGACAGACTGAGATGGACAAAAGTCTGTAATGGACAAAGAGAATAGGACAGACTGAGATGAACAAAAGACTGTGATGGAAAAAGAGAATAGGACAGACTGAGATGGACAAAAGAACATGATGGACAAAGAGAATAGAACAGGCTGAGATGGACAAAAGAACATGATGGACGAAGAGAATAGGACAGATTGAGATGGACAAGAGATTGTGATGGAAAAAGAGAATAGGACAGACTGAGATGGACAAAAGACTGTAATGGACAAAGAGAATAGGACAGACTGAGTTGGACAAGAGACTGTGATGGACAAAGAGAATAGGACAGACTGAAATGGACAAAAGACTGTAATGGACAAAGAGAATAGGACAGACTGAGTTGGACAAGAGACTGTGATGGACAAAGAGAATAGGACAGACTGAGATGGACAAAAGACTGTGATGGACAAAGAGAATAGGACAGACTGAAATGGACAAGAGACTGTAATGGATAAAGAGAATAGGACAGACTGAGATGGACAAGAGACTGTGATGGAAAAAGAGAATAGGACAGACTGAGATGGACAAAAGAAAATGATAGACAGTGAGAATAGGATAGACTGAGATGGAGAAAGTGGCCGGGATAGATGGAAACTCACAAAGAATCCAGGCCAAACGTGATGGACACCGTGACTAAAACAAATCGAGATAGACAACGAAACCAGAAAAAAACTACAACGGGTAAAGAAATCAGATCAGACTGAGATGATCAGTGCAACTGAACTAGACCGCAAAAGAGATCAGGATAGTCCGAGACAGTCAAAGAGACGAGGGCAGACCAAGATGGTCAGTGAGACCAGGCAAAATCGAGATATCCAATGAGACTAAAAAATACAATGAAGGGCCTGACAGACTGAGGTAGATAAATATATAATGATAGATATGAATAAACTCAGATAAATACTAAGAATAAGAAAAATATAAGAATATGAAGTAAAAAAAAAAGATTAAAAAAGACATATACTCGTAGAAACTAACACTATACGGCTTTATTTATGAGAGATATATGGAGCTAGCTGGGTAAGGATTATCTGTGGAACATGTAGGGACAGAGAGATGGGCAATGTAGGCCTTAAAAAAATGACCAGTTTGATGTTTTTAAGAGCTTAAGTCCAAAAAGCTTTTCAGGCAGGTGTAGGGTAGAACAAATGGGGTGGAAATCTTACCCTTAAGAATCTATAATCCTATGCTGTGAGCAATTTATAGATGGTAATATCCAAGTTTAAATACGCAACAACGGAAGAAAAAAAAAAACAGGCAGTTATAACTCTGACGATGCTTGTTTTCCTAAATAGACATATTTTCTTTCTTTTTTCTATGGATTTATATTTTCGCTATAATGTATCAATGTGCTCTCGCTATCTCTTTGATATATATATATATATATATATATATATATATATATATATATATATATATATGTGAAAATATATAGAAAATAGGAAGGAACTGGTTAGGTAAATAATCCAAAGTCCTTTAGTATTAAAATATGATTCCAAATCGCGACATAAGAAGTCCCATGTTTCAAAAACAAGAGCCGAAAACTTCAATATAATTATTTAAATTAAATTGAGTTAAAAAAAACTTCTTATGTCGCGATTTGGAATCATATTTTTAAATAAATAATTATATATATATATATATATATATATATATATATATATTTTATTTATTATTTGGACTATTGTCCTCATCTTTGTCGCCATATTTATTACAAATAATAATAATGTAATAAATATGGCGACAATAAAGTACATAATACCACATCTCAGAAATATATATATATATATATATATATATATATATATATATATATATATATATATGTATGTATGTATGTATGTGTTTGTGTAAAAAATATAGAAAATAGGAAAGAACTCGTTATGTAATTAATCCAAAGTTCTTTAGTATTTTTGTTATTATTTAAAAAATAGTGCCTCGATACAAAAGTAGAGTATAATATAATTATTTATTTAAAAATATGATTCCATCGCATTTTTAAATAAATATATTATATATATATATATATATATATATATATATATATATATATATATATATATGGCTGTGTCAAAAATACTTTTACTAACTTTAGAGGTGAGTTCCTCACAGTAAAACAAAGACAAAAGTCTGTATGTCCGCAAATTTTGCGTTGTTGATTTTAAAGTGTACGATGGACACTGTAAATGTACAATACAAGATACAAACTAAAAATACATTAACATTTGTTAAACGGAACACTTCTCAGTTATCTTACTACTACACATGCTAAACGTCGAAGACACTAGCCACAAATGTACACGAATGACAAATGTAACCTAGTCTACATAGCAACACAGTGCCATCTATCGTAAACTTTCTTTAAACTTATTTGTAGACTCTGTCCATATTTCTGAGATGAGGTATTATGTACATTATTTACATTATTCGGACTATTGTCCTCATCTTTGTCGCCATATTTATCGCAACGTTTCGGCTGTTGTACGCTCCGACCTTCTTCAGGTGGTTGGAATGTCGAACTGAACCCTTTATTTCGCTCACTGGGGTAGACTGTTTTAGTTCCACGTGCCATGTTTGATGGATGTCAGTTATCAGTTATCCTCAAGGACACATGGCACAGTGGATAAAGGCGTTGGTTAGATCCAGTGACAGGACCCAAAGAGTGTGAGTTCAATACCCGGTTAAGGCAGTGAAGAAATTTCAGAGGGAAAATTAACAGGAGATAACTGAAATCCATCAAACATGGCACGTGGAACTAGAACAGTCTACCCCAGTGAGCGAAATAAAGGGTTCGGTTTGACATTCCAACCACCTGAATATATATATATATGCTTGTGTGTGTGTGTGTGTGTGTGTGTGTGTGTGTGTGTGTGTGTGTGTGTGAGAGAGAGAGACTGAGACTATGTGTGTGTGTATACATTTTATCCCGCACCATTTGGTACAACTCTGAGTGTCATGCAACTGCCACGACGTCCATGAATCTCAGATTTGTACCAAACGGTGAGGAACAAAATGTATATATCAACAGAAATAAGCGGCTGTTAAAATGAGTCTGCCGTGAATGCAGACTAGAAGCAAACTGTGTGACAGAAATGTAGTTTGTATTTTATACACAGACACACACATATATAAATATATATATATAAATCAAAGTTGTGCAATATCTTATATATATATATATATATGTGTGTGTGTACATTATTGCACAATTTTGTTTATATATATATATATATATATATATATATATATATATATATATATATATATATATATTTCAAGAAGTCGGCTTGACTCTGTCTTGAATCAGGTCGAAGTTGCTGTTGGAGCCGATATGACGCAAAACCCGAAATCGGCGATGAGGATAGTTTATTACAGAAGAACTACCTTGATGCATCTAAAATCTATTATTTAACTACAATATATATATATATATATATATATATATATATATATATATATATATATATATATATGTGTGTGTGTGTGTGTGCATTATATATAATGATAATAATAATAATAAAGAGAAGAACAGTAAGATATATAATCCGGTGTTCTTATTGATTTTCTTTTATTTTTACAAAACAGTGCTCAATGCAAATCTACAGAGCATAAATATTATTAATTAACTGATTTAAAAATAGGGTTCAATTTCTGCACACCGATGGAACCCAATTTTAAAATAAGTAAATTTATTATATATATATATATATATATATATATATATAATTATTTATTTAAAAATATGATTCCAACACGCTACATAAGAGTTCTCATGTTTCAAAACAAGATCCGAAAACTTCAATATAATTATTTGAATTAAATTGGATTAAAGTACTAAGCTCCGTTCCATCTTCAAGCGAAATTTTTTTGGGAATAACTTATTTCTGAAATTTACGCGTTTTATAAGCATATTCATTATTGAAATCAAAATTTCTATGGTAACGGCTAGAGCAATTGTTTAAACAAAAGGAGCCTAAGGCGTTAATAATTTGTATCAATATCTCAGTTACATTCACAGATGTCAAGTCAGAGTAAGGTTGGGATGTCTAAATTTAAAGCGGAAGATGACATCGTCTAGTCTGGTTAAGTGTCTATGGAGATTTATTTATTTTTTTATTTTATTTTTTATGTTTTTCTGAAAAAAAAATTATTTTATTTTTTCTTTTTTTTATAAAAACTGTCGTAAATCGTTAACATTTGTTTTTTGACGACTTCATAAAGGGTTATCTTTTTTGTAGGGCATTTGAACTTTTTATTAGGACTATGGAATTTTAAAATTATTTTATTGTTTGTTTGTTTTTATGCTAATTATTCAATGCAAAAATTTGATGATGTCGGCAAAAAACCGTTAGCTCCTGTCTATTGTTTAATAGATTTTTATTATTTAGAAACTTAATAATGTGTAATTTTTTATGTAGGCATAAAGGGCATGGGTCATCCCAAATTTTACAATTACTAGTTTTGTTTATAATTTTCCATTTTACTTTTGGTGTTTTATTCATTTCCTTTAAATGCCAAAAATATTTAGATAGAGATGTCTGATTTCTTTTATTTATATTGTTGAAAGAGCACTTATGCTGCCTCCATCTGGTTTTAAATTCATTCTTCGTAGACCCAATGTATATCATATTAGTATTAGGACTCTCAATGGATGAGATAGTACATAGGTATACCACAGATTTTACGCGGCATTTATTTTCCAATGGGCAGTCTTCTGGGTTTCTACAATCACATAATTTTTCACTATTTTTGTCGAATTTAAGTGCAGGGTTTTTATTAATATTATTCAAGCATGGGGGTTTGTTCAGGATTTTATTATTGTGTTTTTTTGTTATACTTTCTAGATTTTCAGTGCATCAGTAACTTAATTTTAGGGTGTTTTTATTAAATATTTTACTAAGTCTACTATTGGTAGGAAAGTGTTTTTCAATTAAAGCTAGGAATTTCTGTCCTAGCTTAATAATAACCATTTCCTTAATACTATTTCCTATTTATATATATATATATATATATAAGATATTGCACAATATTGTTTTATAGATTCTTGTCTATCTATATATATGTATTTAAATACCATTAATCCTTGTTTATTTTTAATATAAAATATAAATCCTGTCTATTTTAAATAATTTTTTTTGTTGTTTTTTTAAATAAAAGCCTGTAATCCCTGTATATGACCTTCGGCAGCATTGCGTTATCCATATGATTTTTTTTATTAAAATTTAAATTAGGTAACGGTCAGTCTTTACTCCGTATCTGAAGTTTTCGTTGTGTATGAGGAGGAATCACACACACACACATATATATATATATATATATATATATATATATATATATATATGCACACATACCGAGCCTATAAGTTGTATAATAAATATATGCACTATATACTTAAAATAATGATCTTATATATAAAAATATATACGTCTGTGTGTGTGTGTGTGCGTGGCTAGGCATTATATATATTCAACGTACACTAGCCAAATGGAAAGTAAAACAAAAAACGTTAATATGCCCCAAAGAGTACTAAGCTTAATCTTCTTTAACCCACTTTCGTCCACGAAGGACAGTTTTTTTTGCTTCAACCCCCCCCCCCCCTCTCCGCATCGTCCAACACTATCCCACTTCCCTAATGTGGTCTGAGGCTGGCCAGGTGATTACGTCCGATGCTAATGTGCTGCAATTGTCATCCTTCCTGTCTGTGACTGGCCACGAAGCGCCTTTAGCGGAGAAGCGGTCGGGGATGGGTAGTAAGATTCACATGGATCAGATCAACTTGCCTTCTTGGATTTTAGCGCCGACCATCTCAAAGAACGGCTCCTAAGTTGAGATCCTCCTTGCAGCAAATGGTTACGCCTTGTCCATTAGTTTCATCTCGCCTATGACAAGTCTCTGTGAAAGAAGCCTCTTCTTTTTCGAAAAATTGAAAGGTTACCATAAAATCCGACAAAGGTCACCATACGCCATTTTCTTTAGCTGGTGCTGCAGTCCCAGGTGCCAGGCAGCCTTTTACCGTTTTCGATGCTTAAATACATACATCTATTTTTTTTTCTTTCCTCATATTTTATTTCTAATGTATGTTTACGTTTTTTTTTAATTCATTTTTTGTTAAGGTTTCTCTTGACACTGAAAGTCCTGCTGGCTTTCAATGATATTAAGTCATGTTTTATATTTTGGCAAAAACAAAAGTGCTTACTTATGTATAAATAAGAGCATATATATATATATATATATATATATATATATATATGTGAGAGAGAGAGAGAGAGAGAGAGAGAGAGAGAAATAGCAGATGGAGCTTTTGAAAATATACGTGGGAGGACTGTTTATCTATATATATATATTTATCAATGAAATATTGATTTTCGGATATGGTTCTGTCCAAGAACATTTTAGCACCGACTCTCACATCTGTACGTATTCATATCAATTTGTGTGTGTGTGTATATATATATATATATATATATATATATATATATATATATATCTATATACATTCTGTTCATATTTATCTTATACATTCTGTTCATATCTATCTATGTCATTCACTTCATATCTATCTCATTCTGTTGATATCCATCTATCTATCTCATTCTCTTCATATCTATCTATTTCATTCTCTTCATATCTATTTATGTATCTCATTCTCTTCATATCTATCTATGTATCTCATTCTCTTCATATCTATCTATGTATCTCATTCTCTTCATATCTATCTATGTATCTCAGTCTTCTCATATCTATCTATCTATGTCATTCTCTTCATATCTATCTCATTCTCTTCATATCTATTTCATTCTCTTCATATCTATATCTATCTATATTTAATACTTTTCATATGTCTGCCTGACTATTTATATACATCTATCTACCCATCTCTATCATTTCAGATTTACTTATCTATCTACATATCTATCGCAATCTATTTAAATCTCTATCCCTCTTATTCTCTTCCTAAACATCAATCGATCTGTGTTTGCTCATATCTCTCTGTTGATCGATTGATCGACGTATCAGATTCTCTTAAAATCTATCTCTCTATGTTTGTTTATATGTCTGTATCAGACGGGGCTGAAAAACACTTGGCCCTACAAAGAATCAAATAAAGGCTCCTAAAACAAAATGTAATGTCTGGTCATTTATTTTTAAGATAACCATATTTAAATAGACGCTCTGTTTTAAAAGTGTTTATTTCATCCGCGCACTGATAAAAAACAAAATCTAAATAGAGGAAACGAGGGCACTTTTAAGTTTTCTCGAGCGTACAAATGCCAGTAGATAAAATAAAAACTGTTTCAAAAAAATGAACGTCTACTTAAATACGGTTATCCAGTAGACAGAATCTTTAAAGTTATAAAAATACATCAGATTAAAAAAGTAAAATCCATTAATATATATATATATATATATATATATATATATATATATATATTATATATATATATATATATATATATATATATATATATATATATATATATATATATATTAATATATATATATGCATTAATATATATATATGTATAATATATATATATATATATATATATATTTATATATATATATATATATATTTTGAATAAATACGTTAAGTTAAGGTTGTCTGGCCCACACCAAGTGGGGTTAGGGATAAAGAATTGAAATGGAACATCTAACTCTCTCGTGTCTTCTCTCCTCCCTCACTTCCTCAATTTACATATGCTTCATACGGCCCGTCAAAAATGTGTAAATTTCTTTTCATTTTTCATTTCAACCTTTGGAAGTAAAGTCTGATGATCCAGAGCCCTTTAAAAGAGCTCTGGTGAATTAATTTAAATCATGGAACCTTAATGTGTTAATTATTAATATATATATATATATATATATATATATATATGAAGAAATACAGTTTTAAGGTGTGCTATATTTATGGGATAAAGTGCTCAAAATATGAGATAGGGCGTATGTAATTGTAAAAATTAACATTGAAGTCAACACTCAGAGTCAACAGGCAGTTTTATGCTGACGATTGCGTCCAGCATATATATATATATTAAAGGATTTTATTAATACAAGAAATCTACTACTAATATATATATATATATATATATATATATATATGTAAGTGATAGAAATTAAAGAGGATTTGAGATAATCATAATTAAGTAATTTATCGAGTCTAGAAGAAACCTCAACATAATGCATTGGACGGCTCTTAGGGGCACAGTCCTATGGGTAAGGGAAACACGGATGTGTTACACGAAGGGATTTTTGAACAGCGGCGCTATATCGAGTTTAATTCGTTACATCTTCGTCACTGAGGCCCATTTTTACGGTTGGTATGACGTTTGCTTCATATCATAACTGTTCGGCTTTCAATTCTCGGTAGTGGACGCGCACTGCTGATGAATCGCAAATATAGGACGAAACGGCCGTCCAGTGTATATATATATATAATTAGAAAAAAGGTCCACGTGTCCTTGTTATAATATTTCAAATAGATAGGTTAGTTAATAAAACAAGGATAAACGGAAGTGTACGGAGAGAAAGGTTTCAAGTTCGGAATTTTCGGACACGCCTGTGTCCTTTATCCTTGATCCATTGCTGAAGATGCCGAATTCAAAACCTTTCTGTGCTTCATGTTTGTCATATGGTTAATAATTAATATTTAATAAATATTTATCGTACTGATTATATTGTACCCTTTCGTTTGTCCGCATTTTATTAAGTAATTAATCTATTTTACACACACACACGCGTGTGTGTGTGTGTATGTGTTTGTGTATTGATATAATAGGAAAGACCAGTTAGATTTATGATCCTACGTTCCTTCGTATTTTTTTTTTTTTTTTTTTAAAAAAACAGTGCTCGATACAGAAGTAGAGGCGAAATTATAATTAATTTTTCATCTTCAAGAGATGTTTGGAATCAAAGTCCTCAATTTCCGTGAAATCCTAAAAAAAAAAATGCAATCTTTCATCTTTTCTGCAACGTTCATTCTTTTTCGTTTCAAATGAATAAAGTGGTACTTTTTTTTTTATTTACTTTTATTCCTTTAAATCTGTTCCAATAAAAATGCAATATTCTTGGTAGCAAGAACAGTAGATGGCTTTGCTGTTTTTCCGAACTGAAATTAATTTTGTACCCCCATCGGTAACTATAAAAAATCAATTTACATTTACTATGGTTAAAATGAAGAATTTTTTACCACACTAATCCAGTATCGAATTCTGTTAAATAAAAATTTTAGCGCCCTAAATGCATTAATCGAGGGATCCTTTTCTATTCATATATTATGTGTGTATAAGATCAACAAGCAGTACTAATAGTAGCGTGGACCAGCCCTACAACCTAATCAATTTTACGAATTAAGCACAATTTTTCGCAAACAACCCGCAGTCGAAGAGTAACGAAACTTTACGCATCAGGCTCGTGATTTTTAAACGGATTTTATTTTTTATCAATTATTGATTTTATATATATATATATATATATATATATATATATATATATATATATATATATATATATATAAAATGCAGTTTAATGAGTTCGTGCTGAACGAAATTGAAGAAAATACAATAATTGTATATACAATTGTGCGGACCTATTATGTCTTCCTTCAAATTATCAGGTCGTATTAACCGACATAATGGTGTTTACTGGTATAATTGCATTTAACATTACATCAACAACTAAACCATATTACAAACACACACACACACACACATATATATATATATATATATATATATATATATATATATATATATATATATATATATGTGCAGAAATATAGTTTTAAGGTGCCATATTTATGGGATAAAGTGCTCAATATCAGAGATAGAGTATGTAAATATAAATATAAAAAGTGACCATTGGAGTGAACACTCAGAGGCGACAGGCTGTCTAGCATGAAACAGCCTGTCGCTACTGAGTGTTCACTTCAATGGTCACTTTTATATTTATATATGTAAATCAAACGCCACGTTTAGTGAATACCTGCGTTTGAGTAGAATTTCAGTTTACTTTTTTTATTTGTACGAACTATCTCAGGCATTCAGGAATCTACCAGGCCATGGCGATCTTGTATTCAAGATCGGGAGTTCATTAAGGATGGAATTCTCTGTCTTAACGGGTCAATGTAGATGGTTGCTGGGCGACCAGCCCGTCATGCGCCAACACTAGATGTTCAGAGTTTTTGATGACAATTATGCCTGTACAAAAATGTTTGTCGAAGCATGGAAGGTAGACTTCAGAGCTGTGTCAATTGTGATGGACAGCAGTTTGAGAACCTGCGCTCATAAAATTTTCAGTGCTCTTGTATTGTATTATTATGTACAATATAATTTAATTGTATATATAATAATTGTTTATCAAAAATTTAATTGTATCGGTATGTAATCTCAAAATAAATGTTATCATTCTCTTCCATCCACTTTGGTTGACCCCCTCTCTCTCTCTCTCTCTCTTTATATATATATATATATACATATATATATATAATTTATATATATATATATATATATATATATATATATATATATAAAGAATACCTGCTCGGCCCGGTGGCTAGGATCAAAGTGTAGTATCTGGGCTTTGTGAGCTGCCGGGTCGGGTGTCTGTCGAACTCTGCTTGCAGAGAGAACCCGGACGAAGCTCTGCCGAAGGGTAGGGTTTCGTTCGGGGAGGTTGATTTGAACTGGCCCCCCTCGGCGGGTTTGGATGGTTATTTATTTTTGGCTGGGCCTACGGGCTCAGAGATACCCACATTTAAAGGCCTTGTGCCACATTCGATCCCCGTGGGTGGATTGATAAATACCATATATATGTTAGACATTTTCATGACGGTCGATCCTCGAGTATCGCATCCAAAGGTTGGCAGTGAATATTTC